TACTTTCATCAGAGAACATGACTTTGGACCACTCACCAGCAGTCCAGTCCTGTTTCTCTTTAGCCCAGGCAAGATGCTTCTGACGCTGTCTGTGGTTCAAGAGTGGCTTGACACAAGGAATGCGACAGCAGAAACCCATGTCTTTCATACGTCTGTGTGTGGTGGTTCTTGAAGCACTCACTCCAGCTGCAGTCCACTCTTTGTGAATCTCCCCCACATTTTTGAATGGGTTTTGTTTCACAATCCTCTCCAGGGTGCGGTTATCTCTCTTGCTTGTACACTTTTTTCGACCACATCTTTTCCTTCCCTTCGCCTCTCTATTAATGTGCTTGGACACTGAGCTCTGTGAACAGCCAGCCTCTTTAGCGATGACCTTTTGTGTCTTGCCCTCCTTGTGCAAGGTGTCGATGGTCGTCTTTTGGACAACTGTCAAGTCAGCAGTCTTCCCCATGATTGTGTAGCCTATAGAACTAGACTGAAAGACCATTTAAAGGCTTTTGCAGGTGGTTTGAGTTAATTAGCTGATTAGAGTGTGGCACCAGGGGCCATCAATTTTGAACCTTTTCACAATATTCTAATTTTCTGATATGATGAATTTGAGATTTTCATTTGTTGTCATTTGTAATCATCAAAATTAAACCAAATAAACATCTGAAATATATGAGTTTGTATGTAATGTATGAATATAATATACAAGTTTCACTTTTTAAATGGAATTACTGAAATCAATCTACTTTTTCATGATATTCTAATTTTATGACCAGCACCTGTAGTGCAGTATTGCAATAGTGCTATTTTTTAAATAGTTTTAAAAAGCATGCTCTTGATTTGCATATTTACCGACAAAAATGTTTAAAACGCAGTTTGTAAAGAAAGAAAAAACCCTATCTGAAAAACAAGAAAAAAAAAACATCTAAATTTGAAACAAATCTGAGAAAGTGACTCAAAATCTTTTTTTTTTTTTTTTTTTTTTATAAAAAGTTTTTCCAAAGTTTCCTTCCTGGTTTGCACTTTTATCCAAATTTCCATTACTGATCCCGTTCCTTGTTTGCAATCTACGTCCAGTTCCTTGGTGACATTTTCCCATCTCTGTGTTTCTCATTGTGAGCTGTGATTGTGATCAGGCCAGGGCGCCCTGCAGGGTGTTGCTGACACAGCACCCTTTAACTATAACACTGAAAGCTTACAGGGATCCTCCTTTAGCTTGGAAGAAGAACTGCCTGGTCCAGACCACCCCCTGGAGCTCCTGCTCCAAGACCTGCGGCCTGGGCATCTCGGTACGCGTCAGCAACGACAACGGCAAATGTGAGATGAGAAAAGACCGCCGCCTGTGCCTGCTGCGACCGTGTGAGAAAAGCTTGCTTAGGACTGTCAAGGTGATGGCTTTATCTCACTCAAAGTCTTCTTAATGCACTGGTGCATCAAGATCATTCAAAAGTTTGTTTATAAATAGGAACTTGTGTATTATATAGAAGAATCAGCCTCAATGATTTATAATTCAAATGTTTCTGTTCATTTATGTTGATTATATTTGGTATCATTATGTCTCATAGCTCATTAAGACCCAGATTTTATCTTCGTTTTGTATTACAATAAGAGCAACAGCTGAATAGCAGAACTTCAGCCCTGATCTTGTCTTTTTCTCACCAGCTTGAATAAATTGCTTGAATAAATCACGATTTCAGCTGCATGGATTTCTCCCTAAAGCCTGAATGGGCTTTTTCTCACAATCTCCTCAAGGTTGTGGTTTCCCATGTTGCTTCTGCAACTATTTCTTTCAGGCCATATGCTTGGATACAATCTGAGCAGCAGGCTTGTTAGTCAGTCAGGGTTTATGACTCGTCCTCTTAGTAGAAGGTCGGGTCTATATGGTTGAATTTTGTTCCATTATTGTTATAAGGAGCATGTTTTGTAAATGGAAAAAAAATAAAAAAAAAGGCCATCCAGATATAAAACTTTAAAGATTTTCAGAGTAATTTTAATGTTTTGAAAGATTTGCATTTTTTATGTATTTTTCCATATTACTTCTTTTTCAAACGCTTTTTAAATTTTTTTTTAAGTATTTAAAAGTATTTTAAAATACTGATTTTGGATTTTCAATTTTGTTTCATTTGTTATTGAGTTTAATGAGTTCTTAATCTCTTCAAAAAAACAACAAATTTGTAACTTAACATTTTTCAAAGTTCGATTTCTGGATTGTTTTTTGTTTTCAACAATAATGGAATAAAATTGACTCCGTATATCAGCATTTCTCCCCATCATTAGGTTCACCCAGCATGGAAAGCTGAATTCCTGAATCATATAACTATATACTGTAATTTGTATAGATGCTTGATCAATACTCATAAAAACACCTGCCTGTGTTTTTTATCCAGGTGCCGAAGGGGAAGACATGCAGACCAAAGTTCCAAGCAAAGAAGGCAGAGAAACTGAAGCTCTCAGGCTGCACCAGCACTAAGAAGTTTAAACCCACCTACTGCGGTGTTTGCACAGATAAACGCTGCTGTGTCCCCAACAAGTCCAGCATGATCAAAGTCAAGTTCACCTGTAAAACAGGCTCCAGTATCCAGTGGAAGATGCAGTGGATCACATCCTGCGTGTGCCAGAGGAAGTGCACTGATCCAGGTGACATGTTCTCTGACCTGCAGTTACTTTAAGAAGCCGCTACAAAAAGACAATGAGCAATAAGAAATTCGCCAACCAAAAAACATTTTCTTTACTTAAAAATGGTTGAAACCAATCATTAAATGAAGGGAAAAGCTTTAATGAGCTCCTTCTTTGGGACATGTTTGTGCAATAAGAAGAAGCTGTGACTCTAAAAATGGCTTCATTTCTAAATCTAACTGGTTATAAACCAACGTTATCGCCTTCATTTCACTTTCTCCTCCCTGTATTTGCCTCCCTGGTCTGGAACCAATCAAGTTAAAACAAAACCCTCTAAAATAAAACACTGAATGGAAAAGTCAGTTTTATTTATTTTCTACCTGAATTTGGTTGGAAGGACTTCATTTTTGTTTCCTGTTCTTTGTATATCAGATGTATCGTTATAGTAAAAATCTCAATGGACCTTAAATTAAACAGTGTTTGGATTCTAAAGCTTTATATTTATTTTCTTAAGTTTCAGGAGCTGACCTTATATCTCTGTATCATCAAACCTTGAATGAGGTTTTAAATTTCCCATGTTTTGCAATAAATTATGTTCCATTATTTTTGCAATCAAAGAGCATGTTTTATAAATGAACATTTTGAAAACAAAGCAATGAAGGAACGAATCTTTGAAGAAAATCTTCAACAAAAAAAGTTTTTTGGAGTAACTTTGCTGTTTTCTTAGATTTATTTATCAAACTTTTTTTATACTCTATTTTTTCAAGTTTTCGATTTTTCACGTTGAGTTTTACAAATTGCAATCTTTTCAAACTTTTTTTCGCGGATCACATTCTCCTTATTTTTAAAGCCCAAAACAAATGATGGAAATTCTTCTTCACTCCTCATTCCAGAGGAAGAAGCTCCAACAAGTGTAGAGAATGTGATCTGGAAAAACATTGAAAAAGATAAATGTATATAAAAACTGAAGAAAAATATTGGAACATTTTCAGAAATGTGCATCATTAATTTCAAAGCCTTTCTTTGGATTAAGACATTTTTTTAGCTCAATTTCTGAATTCCTTTTTTTTGGTTTATTTACTCAGATATTCTGGTGAAGATTCTCAGTCATCCAGGTTACAGTCATTCCAACAAAATCAATCCTCTGGACTTTGTTTCCAAGTTTGAAGATGTTTCTCTTCCCATCCAGGAAGCTTATTTAATTCAAAATGTCAGAAATAGTGTTGAGTTCGAGGCTTTATATAGTGGACCAAAAACAGAGCCTTGGTTTGGCTTAGAAAATATGCAAATAGAACCAGAAGAACGGGTCCGCCCCTTAACAAAGGAGAGTCGTTTTAGGTTTCGCTGTTTGCCTGCAATGCCAGATACTGGTCTATGCCTCTGAAAGGGGGTCTCTAGGGGGAGTTGTTGACCTGGCTGAAAGTTTTTGCAACTGGTGGTCCGCTCCGCTCTCACCTTCATTTTCCTACCGCTCCAGCGAAATCGCTCCACGCTCACTCAAACTTTCAAGAGAAGGCATTTTCTAAACTTTCCCCTTCATGTAATGCCAGGGTCCTAGGACAGACGGCGTTTGGTTTAATGATGTCACCGATACAGGTGTATTGTCTTATTTATCTGGCTGTTAAATTATCGTTTCCCAGCTGTGAATGTAACATTTCGCTCCATTCATATTGCCCCACGTTTCCTATTTAATTATTCATTTATTTTACTAGACTACATTAAAAAAGGTCACTTTGCATCCCATTGCAAATTAGAAAATAGCGGATAATGTGCCAAGATGTGATGGAATCAGTATCTGCGGCTTTTGCAGTAGGCCTACATATTTTTTAAGGATTAAAAATTGTTGGCCTGCAAATGTTCTTCAATTAAAAAAACAAGGCGAAAAAAAAAATCTAACTCAAATCAAATAAATGTTTTTTTACAAATTTTATAATCCAACATTTTTAATTGACGTGAGCACATCAGAGTGAACTGGAGCGGAGCTAAATCCTCGCTCCGGCCTTTGAATTGAAAACCGCTCTGCTCTCCACCATGTTTCTTCCACTCTGCTCACACGCTCTGATTGGCAAGGATATCAGAATAAAATTCACTCCATACTTTTAAGTCCATTTTTTCCATCCTAACAGGAAAACATCACAAATATTGGCTCTGAATCAACCCCCTATAAATACGTTTCCTGTCTCCATCTAAAATTCATCCTTCGTGGTTCATTAGGGTGGAAGTTAGCGTTCAAAAATGCTTTGATCTTCAATCCCTGAAGAATTTGAACCGTTTCATTTAGACACTTCAATCTGCTGGGAAAATATTTTCTAGGAAAATTCAGACATTTCATCCTGCAAAAAAATAATTTTTTTAAAATTCACGTCGAGTCAAGTCGAATACGAATCAAAAAATACTTGAAATAGACAAAATAAATTGGTTTTATTTACAAAGTCAAATTTACAGAATCACAAAAAGAAAGAACACAACTCTACAGTTTGCTCTGTTCAGATGAGGAAAGCATCACCGCTGTACAGCTGAGCTCCTTCGTCACACAGCTGGACAGAAACCGTTACTATATACACCATACATAAAGCATTAAACAGATGCCTTTATGCATCTGGATCCATTTAATGGCCTTTTTTCAGATTTAAAAAGGTGAGTTTTTATTTTATGGGGAGAGATGTTTCATCTGGCGATGGAGAGTCTGGGCGCATCAGGTAGAAGTCTGGCTTTTGTGGCATCTAGATGATGATACTCATCGATCAGCGCATTAAGAGAAGACAAAGACTCTGAGAAGATGCTCTGATCCATCCCGTCTACATGAAGGTAGTGATGTAAGTGAGCCTGGAAAGACAGAAATAGAAATATGTTAAATGATCTCAGCTGCTGTTTTTACTAAAAAAAAACCCACACAAAGATGAACATCAAAATGTGGTTAGAAAAAAAAGGAATGAGAAGTCAGAATACTGCCAAACAGAATGATTCTAGGAATGTATTTTTTTATTGCAGAGAACCTGAATCTGCTCTTAGACTGCAAAAATGATCCCGAAATAAGTAAAAATCTCTTCAATTAAATGTATTTACCCTTTACTTGAGTAGGTAAATAAGATGATTTGCAAATGGAATTAATATTTTTACTTTTAAAATAAGATAATTAGATAATATGCATTTGAAATAGGACAATGCAATTGTCTTTTTCTTATTTTAAATGTAAATTCTCTTCCATTCCATTGGCAAACTCTCTTACTTACCTATTCATTTCAAGAAAAAATGCACTTATTCTAAGAAATAGGGACTTATTTAGATAACATTTTTGCAGTGTAAATGTTTGACACTGATAAACATTAAAAAGTCTCCAGTATAAGATCCTGCAGCACCTCATCTGTAAGAAAACTGAGTAGGAAAGTTTGCTGCTAGAATATTAAGTCCACCAGGCTTGTTTTGTGTGGTAAGAGACGAGACCACACAAGCATTTTCTGATTAAATGAAAATTTAATTTATTAAATGATCCTAAAGGAATAAAAAACTGTTTTGTGTTTTTTGTTTTGTTTATTTGTATATGTGTATACATATTTATGTATGTAAATGTGTAGGTAGGCATGTATTTATATGGATATATATAGCAACATAATTATAATTACCGTATTTTCACGACTATAAGGCGCACTTAAACGTCTTTTTTTTCCCTCAAAAGGTGCGGTGCGCCCTTTGGTGCGGTGTGCCCTATGTGTGTTGTAACTGCGACTTTTGAGACCACCTCATTGAGGAGATGATGAAAGAGTGGCTGAATGTAAGGAGACCAGGTGGTTTTTTTCCACTCCTCACCATCGCTGTTAATATGTAACTCCATGCGTGCCCATCTCACAGCTGATGTGAAAAACATGGGGAAACAAATTAACGCTGTGCTCGCTGTTCAACCGCTCGACATCGGTGTGAACCGGACCCAGCAGGTGCAGCAGAAGCAGCGAGTTTACATGCAAAGTCAATGGTTGACGCGCTTATAGGTGCAGCAAAAGGTCCCGCAGCGCGTTTTGAGCAGCAGGAGCGTTTAAGCATCTGACGCACCGCCAACGCGCTGCTGCTGCTCGAGATGGAAAAATTGAAGTTTTGCTGCTGGACGCGCCACATCAACCAATCAGAGAAGCTGATCTGGGAGCTGACAGCGAGACAGACACAGCGCTCTGATGATATATGATATTAACGCAAATGAAAAAGGCTGGATGGATGAGGAGATGATGAAAGCGTGGCTGAGGCAGGTGTATGTGAGGAGAACAGGTGGTTTTTTCCACGCATCACCATCGCAGTTAATCTGTGACTCCATGCGTGCCCATCTCACAGCTGATGAGAAAAACATGGTGAATCAAATGGACGCTGTGCTCGCCGTTATCCCGGGAGGTCTGACAAAGGAACTTCCACCGCTCGACATCGGTGTGAAGCGGCCGTTCAAAGTAAGGCTGCGAGCGGCGTGGGAGCGATGGATGACAGACGGAGACCACAGTTTCAGGATAAGTGGAAGGCAGCGCCGGGCAAGTTACGCCACCGTTTGCGGATGGATTGTAGATGCTTGGACTAAAGTGTCTGCTGGCTCTGTTGTTCAAGCTTTCGCAAAAGCTGGCATTATTTCTGAGGAGCTGCGCTGCACGGAAAGTGACTCTGACAGCGAAGAATGGGAAACTGTCATGTCTGATTTAGCGCAGCTGTTTAATTCAGAAACAGAGGATGATGACTTTGATGGGTTTGATTAATACTCTGTAATAAATACTTGAATAAAGCACAATCATACTCAGTTTTGCTCCCGCTCTATTTTTCTACCTGAAAACTTAATTCGACAGCATCCCCGGCACGTCTCCTCCTCTTCATCGCGGTGGCTGGCAGGTGTTTTTTCATCTAAATAATCTAAATCTTGCAGCTATATTTGCTGTGATCAGTGGGAATAAAGTAGTTTTAATATGTTTTTAAGTGAGAAAGTCCACCTGAAAACTTAATAATTGCAGTCAGTTCATCCAGATTATCTATTTCTGTCGGAGGCGCTCAGACCCCCACATACCAGCGGTGCACCGACAGTAGAAATCCCTTCCTCAGCAGCCTCTAGGCTGGGCAGCCTCCAGGTTCATGCGGTGGCTGGCAGGTGTTTTTCATCTAAATAATTTAAACTGCAGGCACCAGGATACGGGCAATAAAAGCGAACATATTCCGTCAGCAGGTTTCAGGATTTTAAGTTAATTTAGGAGCGATCACAGCGCTCTGTCATCTGCGATTGTGTCTGACTCACGGCCAGCTGCCAGGTTTGATTAATACTTTGTAATAAATACATGAATAAAGCACAGTCATACTCAGTTTTGGGCCCGCTGTATTTTTAAATACGCAGTAGAGGTATTTAAAGGTAGTAGAGGACATGTACCTGTATATAAAAAACGCGCCCTATAGTCCGGTGCGCCTTATGTGTGTGTTAAATACAGTAATGGCACACATAACTGAGACTGCGCCTTTTAGTACGGTGCGCCTTATGGTCGTGAAAATACGGTATTGTAAATTGAAAAAATACAAGAATTAAAGGGGAAGGAGCACATAAGTTTTACTTCTTCCTACTCCTTTTTGCACATGTAATAGAGGTATATTAACTCAGGAAAGAAAGGTACCTTGTTTGTTGTTTTTCTCTCCAATGTTTTTAAACATTTTTTTATTGGTTTTTTTGCTTTTCTCTTGCATGTTCGAAATAAAGAATAATAAAAAAAAAAAGAATACCTGAAATAAGAAACCAAAATAGATCAATGTTAAGTCCAAAACTGATCAGAAATAAAACAAAAACGACTTAACAAACCAACCAATCCAATAGAAACCAAACCAAATGGAGTTCTGAAGAGGGGAAAGCCTCCCCTCTGCTGCATGCATAGCAGCTTTAAAGCAACAGAGCACCAACAGGGGGAAATGTAACACCTGTAGAGGGCCTGTATCCCGAACCCTACAGGGAAAATGGCAGGGACCCAATGCAGCCGTAACAGTTTAAATTTGGAGTCAGTATCCTGTTAAAACCATCAATGTTTCCATGTTTTTACTGTTAGGAGTAGATGTGAGGAGAAGTTCAGTGCTAGTGGTTTTTCTCCATCATCAATCCACCCCGTGTGATGGACCAGTAGTGCTGGTCCATAACAGTAGTGGAAAAACGCACTACCACCATCTATATACCCCCAAAGAGGGGAACAGAAGACCTCGCCTGTTCAGCCAGGCCAACAATTCCCTCTAATGACCCCTATCAGAAACATAGACAGGTATGGGGCATTGCAGGCTAGGGGTGGAGCCGTTCGTCTGTTTCAATTTGCATGTTTTTTAAACAAAAACAAGGTTTTGTTGGTCTACTCTATAAAACCTTGAACTCAAAGCTATTCCTGACATTTTGAATTGAAAAAACTTCCTGGATGGGAAGAGAAACGTCTTCAAACAAAGTCGATTGTTTTTTTTTTACTTTTTTGGAATGACTTCAACCTGGATGACTGAGAATCTACACCAGCACACCATCTATAGCAGGGGTGTCAAACTGGTTCCAGAAAGCGCCGTGTGGCTGCAGGTTCTCTCTCCAACCCAGCAATATCACACCAGACTTTATTCATCTCATCAAGTCATCAATCTGAACATGATGACTTGATGAGATGAATGGAGTCAAAGAAAAGAAAACATGCAGCCACATGGCGCTTTATGGAACCACTTTGACACCCCTGATCTAAATAATACCAGATAGGTTATCCTTCATTAGGCGCTTCAGCTAGCTAACTGCTAACCCAGGTGCCATATTGTGCTAACAGTCAGAGTAGCAGGAGGATCAGAACTGAAATTTCCAAAACATTCTAGAAAAAAAAAACAAGCATTGTGGTATGCCTTTGAAAAAAGTAAGAGTGTTTAAAAAAATTAACCATTAAGTTGTTTTATCTGGTTGGATTAAAGTTGAATAAAATAATATATTGCAAAGGTTTTCGTATTGATCTTAATTTATTAGGGGAGTTTGTAAAGGGCTCACAGAATGCAAATTCTTGGAGATTTTTGCATTAACCCTGTAATGCCAAATGTATATTTGAGACATACGGTTTCTGAAATGTTTTGTGTCTGACACCTTTCGCATAATTTAATGGTAAAAACTTTGCTCAAAATCCTATTGTACACAATCAGATATACCTGATAACAGAGGGCAAAATAATCTTGACTTAGCGCATAGTAATAAATTATTAATATCAAAAATGTATTTCTGTTTTTTCTTTTTACATATTTTGTTAAAAGGCCAAATAAGGACTCCAAACCAAAAGAAAAAGTAATTTTCTGTTTTGTTTTATTCTTGGATCGGGCTTTAAAGGGTTAAAGACATATTTTCTGAGTTAGTTGTGGTTGATAGGCTAAGCTAGCATGTAGACTTTTGGCCACTAGTCTTTGTCTTACTGTACCTGCTCCATTATGAATATTAACTGACAGCAGGCCAGAGCGTTTCTCTTTCTTATCCTCTCCGTCTCTGCGCCGTCTCTCAGCTTCGGCTGTGTCTCTCTCATTATGTCCCTGCACAGCTAAACTGTCCACTTCAAAATAAATAAGATTAGCAAGACCAGAACAGAGCGTATGGTTCAGGTCCTCAGCAATAGCTCCAGTCTGACCATAACCGTAGGAGTCACATGAACCTCCTTTAGTTTAGACATTTTCACATCATTTACAGCGTTGTTAATGCCGTAAATTTGTCAACACAATAATGCATAGACTCCACATTGCTTATTATTGGTAGAGAGAGTACGGATGTCAGAGCATCGCAATATTGGAACTTTCCCAGCTTTAATTTGACTTTTAAAACCTTCATAAGGAATATGAGAGCTCGCACTGGTTTAGTGACAGATTCATGCTCATTCCTTATTAGAACAGAATGTTTTTTTATATGACTCAATGCCTGGCAATGCCTCCTTGATGCACACCCTGTAGTCACATGATTACCAACCTGTAGTCACATGATTACCAATCCAGTAATATATATGGAAGGTTACCAGCACCATGCTTTGAGGTGTTGCCAGGTAATATCCAGGCACTCTGCAGGTCCACCAACAAACAATTCTCAGTTGAAGGAGGTCTAACTTGCTAAACGGAAAGGGTTGCAGGTAAATGAAAACTCTGCTTTTCTCAGTGTTGGTTAGATTTACAGAGCTAACTCTAATCCTGTCTCAGAGGACAAATAGCTCAACGTTCACCTTGCCTGATGCCAAAACTATCCTTCAGAATAAAAAACTAATTCTGACTGATGCTGTTAGATCTTATTTCCTATTCTGGCAAAGATATTCAGGTAAATCCATCCAGTTTTAACCATTTCCTTTCAGTTTGTTAAACTAAATGCTCTAAAATGGCTTTAAAGATTCACGTAAATGCATCGACTATATCGCAGGGATTAAAGCAAAAGTGTGTGTGTATTTTCACACCATGCTAGGAGGGAGTGGGGGCATGGGATCAGAGATGGCATGAATGATTGAAGACTAAATTTGACTTTTGAAAATCCAATACCAAAAACGGCCAGCAGATGGCAAAAGTGAGTCTATATCTACCACTTGCATGAACCACATTTCTTTTGATATCCAGTTCTGCTGCTAAGCGTCGTGTTCGGCGAGGAAAGCACACACCCTTATCTTTAACTCGCATACGCGGTGAGTTATTGACGCTGGTACATCAGCTGTTGCCGTAGCTCCAAAGCGCACAAACAGCAGCTTGATGACCAGGGTCTAACTCATGTTTTTGCACATTTTTGCTGCTGGATGCGTAAATAAGCGTTCCTGGAGCACAGCGTGCAGAAGCAGGAGCCTGATTCACCTAACTTCCTGCACCAGCTGCTAAATGGCTCGCCATCTTGCCCCATCTCCTCCAGCCATGCCCAGCGCCATTTATTTATCTATGGTTGAGACATCTTCCCCTGAGTTCATGAACCGCATTGCACCCAGTCCATGCAATTCCGTTCTCTCTATCGTCCTTCTCTCCAAACACAAAGTTTCATTCATTAATTTTTTAATTTACGCGTCTCTTCGTTGAATGGAGCCGTAAATGGAGCAAGGTGACTTTCCTTGTAGAACTTCAGCACTGTAGCCCAATCTATCTGGCGACTTGAGCAACAAACGAGAGGAGGAACAAGCTTTCCTAAGACCATTTTCCCCTTCTGATGAATGACTAAAAGTGTTAGTTTCAGAGCACTTCTTTGCTACCGTTGGCTGACAAAGCATGAGGGATTTTTATTTTATTTATTATTATTTATTTATCGTCGATCTATTTTCGAGTGATTCTTTCACCCACGGGCAATCGCTCCGAGCCGGAAATCCGGCCTGGGGCTGAAATACTTTAATCCCTGTGTATCGGCAGTCAAACAATGATAAGGGATTGATGTAGTAAGTTATTAAAAGTTCAAAAGAAAGGTGAATTTCATGGCCATGGTGAGTATATGAAAACAACAGGAAGAACATGCATCCAAATGTTCGTTTGTTGCATACCTTTTTCTTGTAGAGCTTTGTGAAGCGTCCCCTCAGCTCCATGAAGGTGGGCTTCACACAGGTGTTGTTGGCCAGCGCTAACAGGGAGTGGGAATGTCCTACCGGAGGCTCCGAACACAGCCCTGTCTTCCAGCCCTCCTGATTCCATGACACGAAGGGCAGAGACGGTCTCAGTCTGAGAAGAGGATGAGAAAGGAGCAACTTTATTTTACATGGTCCAATTAAAGCTGTTAGAGTAAATCCACACAAAGCAAAGGAAGCAAAAAACAGATAAACCTATTCTAAGGGCAGATTATGGATATACTTTTTTTTTTATTGAACCATGCTAAAAAAAAATTCTTTTTCAGGCAAGTATTACCAAGTATTCTTTCATCTAACTGAACAGCAGTGAAAAAGAAGTGATGAAGAGCTATAGTTGAGCCATTTTCTGAAACCTAACAGCTTTAAGGGCTGGTTATCCTCCTGCAGCAGTGTGTCGCAGTGAGCTTGTTGCTGATATTTTTGATTTATGCCCAATTTTGAAGCGTGGCCTGCGCTATGTTATTCCACGCCACAAAGCAAGAGGGACAATCAGGAAGTAGCTGTGAGTCTAGATACAGCCGAGGCGGTAAGGAAGCTGGGGCAAGTTTGTGCGACAACAGGTAGAAAAACTGTTTTATTTGTCTGAAATCTCTATGAAAGTCATTTTTAAGATGTTTTATTTGTCCTTCCTTCCCTCAGATCTTAATAAAAAGAATAAAAATAAACTGAGACTTGTTTTGTCACCTTGTTAAATAGCAGAGCTCAGTCTGTCTTAGAAGGCAGCACTTTCTTTCAAAACTGATAATGATTGTTTTCAACTTTCGGCTACTTTAAATCGCCAATGAAATGTAAAATAATAGCAAATGTAGGTAATAATATATTGAGACTCTAAAATAGATTTCATCCTTAAGAAACGGGTGCAAAACAGCTTGTCTGAGTGGAGTTACCATATGTTGATGTCATAAGAAGGGGCGGAGCAGATCTGGTACCTACAATGGTCTCTTGTGCACAAAAGAAGACGCAATGGAGAGGGCGGCCTTTCTTTCTGCAATTTACTTTAAAATCATGATTAAATCATTTTAGGGAAACATTAATTTGGACCCCTTTTCATACAGTTTATTTTCCCGTGAGGGTACACATAGTTAGCCATGGTTTGTTTAGCATCCCTTCCTGCATCAAATGCTGGCCAAGAACTAAAAATTGTTTTTTGTGGAGAGTGCCCCCTTGTGGACATTTCTGGTCTGAACAAAGAGGCAACACACACAAAAAAAGCTCCTTTCACTCTCTGGATTTTCCGTTTTAACGGATACCCAAAACTAACACACGTGTTTTAACCGCAAAAAGTCAGATTAGCGTTTTATAAATAACCTGAACTAAATTTACCCTTTTAAACTTCATCCCCAGTCTTTATCCGGATAACATTTCTTTAGGAGCCTGTATGTTTCTTTTTTAAACCTGTGGATGTTCAGGGCCTGGTTTCAGAGAGCAGGATGAAGGAGCTCCGGGGTAAACATCTGCATATCCAGGGTTTTCATTTCCCTGTGATTTAAATTATATTTGAGCTGAGAGGAGCAAAGAGCTAGACATGGTGTGTCCTTTTCTAGACTCAACTCTTTAAGATGTGTTTTTATTGCAACATTCATAGATTTTTGAACCACAGAGTCAGTTTCTCTTAATGAGATTTCAACTGCCTGCGGCTGACATGACACAATGAGGCCAAGCTGTCAGTGTTTTCCTAAAGAAACCAGGTTGTCTGCGTGTGTGTTGCAGTTAACCCAGATATGCTGCACCTCTCCGAAATTGTAGATGACCGCAGATAGGAGGCCTCTGATTGGTCAAATCTACATCCGCTCTACACTATATGTATTTCCTGTTTGCTACCTTACCGGCTTGTTTTGTTTGTATGACCGCCATTGTGGAAAACGACTCGTGAAGATGGACCAGCTAGAAGAGTGAGGTGAGAACGCTGGGACCCTTTTTCCACCTGGATCCCCGCTCCCCTTTTGGCCCTCAAGTCCCTCCGTTGTCGCACAAACATCCCCCCACTTCCTCACCACCTCGGCCGACTCTTCATATTGGGCATAAATAAAAAATATCTGCGACAAGCTCACTGCAACACACTGCTGCGGTAGGATAATGAGCCCTTGAACTGTCAGGAATGTAGCACATAAGGGGTTACTGTTCAGCACAGATGCCAATGAGGTTGGTCGTAATACACCTGTCCATCAAAAATTCAAGCATATCTTCAAAGACACAGTTCTAGCATATTTATTCATTGGTTTCTAGGGGGTAACTGGAATGATAGAAGGCAATGACTTTTTACAGCTCCTTAGCTAAATAAAAGATATCATCTGTTCTATTATTATATATTGTATTGCTTCAGTGTTTCATCTAATAAATATATCCTAACAATAAAAGCATCAAAAGAGTGGTGCCTCCATGATGAACCACTTCTATAATTAAGAGTATGCCTTCTTGATGAACACATAGTATGTTTAATGGTTTTATTCCCCCTCGCTAAACAAACTTTTAACACTTTGTGTTTTTTCCCCCCTGATTGGTTCTTCACATCTTCATCAGGCATTTTGGACTTCTTCTTTAATAATTTTTCCTACATTTAATATCACCTACATTTAATTAAAGCTCCAGTAGATGCATTTCAATGTTTACTTTCTGCATCTGCATTATTCCAGGTGTTCCTTTTCAATAATGTTTTTATGTTTTCTTGAACAGGGGTTTTAAGGGAGCTTTGGAGACGCGTCTGCTCTATTTAACTTTAACCAATTAATGCTGCTGGATCTAGTTGTTGAAGGTTTAACACAATAATAGCTGGTAACTGGACCTCAGCTCATTTTTATACTGGATGAGAAAGACAAGGAAAGATCCAACATCAAGAATGAAAAAGTAAATAAGTTGCGAGTAGGGATAAGACACAATTAGGGCTATAAAATCAAATATAAGACTGTTGGGGTCAACCAAAGTGGGAGCTGAAGCTGCAGAAGCTACCAGAGTGATGGATGTGTGAGTAAGAACTGTGTCTGCTGTTTGCTCCTGGTGCAAAAATCATTTTTAAACTAAAAAAGGACAAAGTAAACACTATCACGATAAACGTTTAGCTTTTTCTTTATTAACTTGAAGATGAATACAAAAGGCCCCTTTTAAGCTCATATTTTCCTTGGTTCCTGTGAAGCACACAGTGGTAATGCTAACTGAAACACGTCTGTATCAGAAACCCAAAGTGATTTGGTGTTGTCAGATGAGCATACCTGGTCAGACCAGCATACCCATAGTCAATACCCGTTTAACCCTTTAGTTTATCTCTTTAGTTTTGTAAGAACAATACAGGTAAACTACCTCAACGGGCGTCTAACAAGTTTTTATAAAAGAATTTCTGGGAAATTTGACTTTACACTGCATATTTTCCGCTAAATATGATTGCCAGAAAAGAAAATGAGTGAAAAGCTTTATATTGCTATATAACATCAAGATGCTGATTGCAAGCTTTGATCAAAGAATTTCTTTCCAATTTCACTTTATATTGCATATTTTAAGCTAAATATGATTGCTAGAAAAGAAAGCGACTGTAACATTTATGGTTGGCCAGATTTGAGAAAAGGGGCTTAAACTACCTCCGATTGCTCTGAAAAGCTTGAATTTCCTGTGTAACATAAAGCTGCTGATTGCAAGCTTTCATCAACGAATTTCTTTCCAATTTCACTTTATATTGCATATTTTAAGCTGAATGTTCAAAAAATATTGAAGTAGAAAAAAACAATCTACTTACTTTCTTTTTGGCGTTTTTTGAAGCGTATGGTGATCTCCCCATGTCCGTCAAGGTAGGTAAAGTGTATTTTTCTTATTAAACAAGATAAAGTTGCATTTTAGTGCAACAGTTTCAGCAACAAACAGAAAAAAAGACTACATTAATACCCTGCTTTGTAGTCCAGGACGGAATCATGATCAGTAAATTGTTTTAACATATTTTTTTTGACTCTGAAGCTGTGACGGCTTTTATTTTACTATGGCGGTGCGCATCGATCGATTACAGGTAGCAGAACTCCTGTGTTGACTTTGTTATTTTTTTCTGATGAACAGTTAAAGTAGTACTTTCAGTAGTTTCAGTTGTTTGATCTAGCTGAAATTTTGCATGTGCAATGATTTATATCTCTATAGATTAAGTTGTAAATTACAGCTCTGAACTAATTGTGGTTTCTGATTTACAGATGTTTGAAATGAGTCAAGTCTGAAAGGGCATTGTTGAGTGTCAAGCAGTGATCTGGTTTTTGTATTTCAAAGAGGTACACACACTCTAAAGCCGGGCTTACGCTGTGCAATTTTTTTCAGTTGTTGCACGCAGCTACAGCGCACACTGTACAAGATAACCGCAGGATTTAAAGGTTCACAGCTCACCATGTTTGTTCTCACACTGTGTGACCCGACGTTCTGATGCGATCTACCTGCTCACACTGTACGTCTAAAAACCAGGTTGGACTCAGCGCCGCAGTGAGCTGGCGCTACTCGGACAAGTAGAAGAGGAATATGAGGAATATGCGCGATTTTGTGCTGAAAGCCCTGAAAAGAAAAGGCGGCAATGTATTGGGACAAAGAGATGGCTGAGCAAACGTGGCTACAAATGTCTGTCAATTTTACAGAAAGAACTCCATTTCACTCATTGCACCCCCGCCATGCTTCTGTGTTTTCATCTAAGAGGAAAAAGAAGAATCCTTGTTTGCGCACTGAGCAATTTGCCAACGACCACCTCACGACGGCCGACTGAATTTCAAACATGTTTGATTTTTTAGCGACCTTACGATTCCTGATCAGGAGGTGGTGGTGAGAGCCCCTCGTTAGCCCCTGTTCTCTACCCAACGCACGATCAGGCTGAAAGCCGGCCAAATCGAAAGATTCTTGCAGGACTGGACAAGGAAAAAAAAAAAATCCTACAGTGTATCCCTGAATTTATTGTGACGATGCTCTATCATATGACCTTGTAAAACTTTTGCAAGGTCATATAACGGGCATCATCACAATAACTTACTTTCATTTCATCAAAATTCTCCTGTGGTGTGATTCCTTTCAAAACAAAAACCGGATCACTGCTAGACACTCAACAGGCTCCGTTTCAGACTTGACTCAGTTCAAACACCTGAAATCAGAAACCATAATTACTTCAGACTTGTATTTTGCCACTTAATCTATAGAGACATAAATAAATGCACATGCAAAATTTCAGCAAGATCAAACAACTGGAAGTGGCTCAGGGGCATTAGATATTGAACGCCCCTCGTATCTGTTTACTACGGAAGAGGATTAGGGCCACTGGAAAAAAAAAAAAAAAGTTAACTGATTTTTTAATTTTATTTCAGTATAGTATGGGAAAAAGTCAGAATTCTGACTTTTTTCTCAGAATTCTGACTTTTTTTATTGTCAGAATTCAGTCAGAATTCTGAGATTAAAGTCAGAATTCTGAGAAAAAAGTCAGAATTCTGAGATTAAAGGCACACTATGCAACATTTTTCAGTTAATTAATGTGTTCCATAACGTTTTGGATGATTAAATGAGTCATTTCAGGTTGAACAAAGGTTTTCTCGGCCGCCCTGGTGGTCTGTGGGGGAAATACCGCACTTGCAATTGCAGGAGCACCGACCCGCACCCACAGGCTCAGAAGTCTCACGAGAGTCGGTATTGCTTTACGGCGAGAACTGCTACACCCCCCAGTTAAAAGCATGCTTGTTGCTAGCACAGTGGTGATTTTTGTGCAGTTATCATGGCAGAACCAGCATGAAAACAGCGAAAGCCCATGTCGGAGCAGGCAAGAAAGAGGAAAAGGGCTCCGGACAGAGAGAGGAGTCGTACACGGGTGAACATCGGGCAAGCTTTTTCCGAATGGCGAGAGCTAAAATAAAAAGAAGGCTGCAAGGCTGACGCGGACCTCGCGTTTCTGCTGATGCGATTGTAAGTAACATTGGAATGGTTTCTCTCTCTTTGTGTGCATGTTCATACTTTCACTGTGTTAGTCATTCGTTGCGTTCGCCTGTCTGCTAAGCTCAAAACAACGGCTCCTGGCTTGACGGAGAAACCAGGAGAACAGCTGTGCATATTTACGACAGTGCACTTTTACTTTCGCTCTCTGGGGGGAGCCTCACTGGAAAATCAACGCCGGTTGCATAGTGCACCTTTAAAGTCAGAATTCTGAGAAAAAAGTCAGAATTCTGACTTTTTTTCCCATGTTAAACTGAAATAAAATGTAAAAATCAGTTAACTTTTTTTTTCAGTGGCCCTAATCCTCTTCCGTAGTTTACTGCTTCTTTTAAAAAAACATTAAAACGTTGTTCTCTGGTGGGTAAAACTAGAGTAGAATGAAGGTGGAGTTTCTCTTTCCACTGACTGATCTTACAGCCGCTCAGAAATGCTAAAAATACTCAACTTGTGTTTCTGTGGACAGTGGAGGAAGCAGAGCCGGGGAAAATACACAAACATCCCAGACACGGACCCCTGCCAACATTCCAAGAAGAAACTTTGTAGTATGCCGACGCCTCCCCTCTCCTTTACCTCCTACCTTTTTTTAATAGAGTGTTCTCACACAGATATGAGCTCTGACACCTGTCTAGGTATCAATGTCTCAGGAAAACGCTCTCAGTGAAGACAGCGATGAAAGGGGAGCAGAAGGGAGGTGGGGGCTGAATAGAGCAGTCATGAAACGCTGCTGAATGGGGGTATTATTGGAAAGCAGGAAGGTTGAGGTAATTTTTGGGTCTGTCGGGGGGGTGGGTGAAGCAAATCCTGTGATGTTTAGGTGTTTTGAAGGAAGGGGTTAGCGTTCCTACCTCTCGATGTTCCTGCGGAGGTCAGACACCTGCACGTTGCCCCTGACCATCAGAGCACAGGCCAAATAGAGGCTGTGCTTCGGATCAGCTTGGATTAACTGGTGGTCTTTACTGAAGGCATCGCTGAACATCTGATCCAATCTGAGGTGAAACAATAAAGGAACAAACTGAATGATTATCTACCAGGTAATGGTCCGGTAAAGAATTTCTATAACTTTCTGCAAAGAAGGTGGGCATCCATGGCCGCTGTAGAGCAAGACCAGGGCGACCAACAGGAGCTTTTCTGTTTTCTTTCCACTTTAAATACAAAATAACTTTAAAAACAAAATCCAAGATATTTGCAAAGCTTCATTCAAACCAGATGGTCTAACTTCTTCAATGGAGGCTGATGAATTTACCTCAAATCTTTCTTTTTTTCTTTTTAACAGTGTCCTGTCTGTCTGGCAATGTGGGAATAATTGACTTGATGCCAAAAAGAGCCCAACAGATTTTACTTTCACTAGTGGAGTAGTACGGCTATCGCCATAGTGTTCCGCTTGATTTATGCATATAAATAGCTTTATTATAATTATGCAGGGAGTTTTACAGATTATATGGACACTGCAATGTAAGTAAAACAGAAAAGGAAAAACAATCAAAAAAGGAGAAAAGATGAAAGAAAGAGGAGATAAAAGGGAGACAACAATAAAACATTTCCTTCTCTGAAAGATTTTACCTCAAATCTGTCTGAGAAATGAACAATGGAGCTCCATGCAGATAGATTAATACTACTGTTACAACTACATCCTTTAAAACCGTTATAGCTGTGAAATCATATAGGACGTTTCTAGTTCCACCTGTGGGTGTTAAATGTTTCAGACTGGTGCAGAGGTTCATTATTTAACATGACGATGACTGTTAGCATAGAGCTGGAGCTGAAGGAACTGGGTTAGATGACAGGATGCTATTGTGTGCAGGCTAGCTGACAGCTTTGCTAGAGCCAGGGACCACAACAGTCTTTTTGCCCCTAGACTGCACCTAGACCTCTACCATCTCTGCTCTTTTGGCTCTAAGCTCAAGGGTTTCTTTAAAAGAAAAGGTGTTTTTCTCCCTTACACTACTTAGGAGATGCTATACTTTCAAATCACATTGATGAACGCAGTGCTTCTTACCTGGCTTTGAATGGGCATCTTTTTTCTGCAATTCCGTTCCTGGATCTGTTCCTGACTCATCATCAGTTTGTTTTAATATCTACTCCCTCAAGCCTTTGGTGTCATCTTCCCCTTTTCTCTTTTTTTTTCTCTGTGCACCAGACTTCTGAAAACCTGACATCCTTAGTTTACAGCGAAACAAATTTTAAAGGTTGCAGCCCGCTGTTGTCCAGATCAAAACATTTTATGTTGGGGTCAATTTTGGGGCCCCCACTTCCTGGGCCCGGGACAATTGACCTCTTTGTCCCCCCCTGTCGGCGTGTCTGGTTGTGTGGTCCAGGCAAAGTCCAGAGCTGAATCTCAATTAGAATCTGTAAAGGATGTGAAAGTGAAGGACAATAGTCCAAACTGTCCTAATTGAGTAGAGATGAGCTTAATTTAAAAAGACTCATCTCTGAAAGACCTGCTACTCTAACCGCAGTGAATAGTGTTTTTTCATATATAAACCCCCCAATTTCACAAAAAAAGTATGAATATTCTGCAAGTAGCTGTACACTATAACAGGGTTCCTACAGCATAAGGCAAGTTAAATTCAAGACTTTTTAAGACTCTTTAATGCCACTTGAAATAAAAATTTAAGACCACAAGAAACACAAGAAAAACCTGCTTGCGACAACTTAACCCAAAGGTTTATTTTAACATAAACCACTGCACTAATGTTTCTAATGTTGAAAAGCTTCCCATACAGGAAGAAAGCTAAAAACACACAAATGACAGATATATTTGAACAATTATTTAACTGAATTCACTAACTTTGTTTTAGCAGGGTTTTAAAGCCACAACATAACCAGTGCTAAGTCTTTTTGCAGCTATTTTTCTTTGTTTCGTTTTCTTAGTATGTTTGATTTGGTGATAAGTGGAGGCGTTGCAGAGACAAGGGTGGAACTAAACTGAGAAATACCAAATGTTTCTTGGTAACTTCATTTTGAAGCTTTGTGTTTCGTGCTTCGCATGTGCGACTCCACTGCCTTAATTCCCATCGCTCTGAGCTTGAATCGCTTCTTGCACAAAATCCACTGAGCCTCATGTACAGGTGCTGGTCATAAAATTAGAATATCATGAAAAAGTAGATTGATTTCAGTAATTCCATTTAAAAAGTGAAACTTGTATATTATATTCATACATTACATACAAACTCATATATTTCAGATGTTTATTTTGTTTAATTTTGATGATTACAAATGACAACAAATGAAAATCTCAAATTCATCATATCAGAAAATTAGAATATTACTGAAGACCAATAAAAACAAAGGATTTATAGAAATGTTGGCCAACTGAAAAGTATGAACATGAAAAGTATGAGCATGTACAGCACTCAGTATTTAGTTGGGCCTCCTTTGGCCTGTATTACTGCAGCAATGCGGCGTGGCATGGAGTCGATCAGTCTGTGGCACTGCTCAGGTGTTATGATAGCCCAGGTTGCTCTAATAGTGGCTTTTAGCTCTTCTGAATTGTTGGGTCTGGTGTATTGCATCTTCTTCTTCACAATACCCCATAGATTTTCTATGAGGTTAAGGTCAGGAGAGTTTGCTGGCCAATTAAGAACAGGGATACCATGGTCCTTCAACCAGGTACTGGTAGCTTTGGCACTGTGTGCAGGTGCCAAGTCCTGTTGGAAAATGAAATCTGCATCTCCAAAAAGTTGGTCAGCTGCAGGAAGCATGAAGTGCTCTAAAACTTCCTGGTATGTGGCTGCGTTGACCCTGGACCTCAGAAAACACAATGGACCAACACCAGCAGATGACATGGCACCCCAAACCATCACTGACTGTGGAAACTTTACACTGGACTTCAAGCAACGTGGATGAAGTGCCTCTCTTCTTTTCCTCCAGACTCTGGGACCTTGATTTCCAAAGGAAATGCAAAATTTACTTTCATCAGAGAACATGACTTTGGACCACTCACCAGCAGTCCAGTCCTGTTTCTCTTTAGCCCAGGCAAGACGCTTCTGACGCTGTCTGTGGTTCAAGAGTGGCTTGACACAAGGAATGCGACAGCAGAAACCCATGTCTTTCATACGTCTGTGTGTGGTGGTTCTTGAAGCACTCACTCCAGCTGCAGTCCACTCTTTGTGAATCTCCCCCACATTTTTGAAGGGGTTTTGTTTCACAATCCTCTCCAGGGTGCGGTTATCTCTCTTGCTTGTACACTTTTTTCGACCACATCTTTTCCTTCCCTTCGCCTCTCTATTAATGTGCTTGGACACTGAGCTCTGTGAACAGCCAGCCTCTTTAGCGATGACCTTTTGTGTCTTGCCCTCCTTGTGCAAGGTGTCGATGGTCGTCTTTTGGACAACTGTCAAGTCAGCAGTCTTCCCCATGATTGTGTAGCCTATAGAACTAGACTGAAAGACCATTTAAAGGCTTTTGCAGGTGGTTTGAGTTAATTAGCTGATTAGAGTGTGGCACCAGGGGCCATCAATTTTGAACCTTTTCACAATATTCTAATTTTCTGATATGATGAATTTTAGATTTTCATTTGTTGTCATTTGTAATCATCAAAATTAAAAAAAATAAACATCTGAAATATATGAGTTTGTATGTAATGTATGAATATAATATACAAGTTTCACTTTTTAAATGGAATTACTGAAATCAATCTACTTTTTCATGATATTCTAATTTTATGACCAGCACCTGTATGTTCCCTGGTTTTAGCCATGGAGAAAACTCTTGGCTGGAGACAATTTTGGTTACATTTACACTTGCTCATATTTTCCAGACAAAAAGTTAATGTTGCATCTCCCAAATGTCCCGGCCGCAACAACGCTTTATTGGTTCCGCTATCGGGATGGAACCAATAATGGCGAGCCGTTATTTCTTTTAAATAAAAAAAGGGTCAATTTTAACTTTTTATTTAGATTACAAAAATAAATATATGATTTATGATTTTTTTAAAATTAAGACCTACGAAAGACTGATTTAAGACATTTTAATACCAATTAAGGCCTTAGTTTTATTTTGAAGAATTCAATGCCTTTTAAGACTTTTTAAGGACCCGAAGGAACCCTGTATAACATTAAAGGTACCTTTAATCATCTCTCATAATCCTGGGAAGGAAACCTCTCCTGCGGAGTTTGCTGCTACAGTACCGCTCCATGTTTTAAATAAACATCAACAAGGTCGTCACTGAGGACTAGGTGTGAGCTCAACTACCGGAGAGGAAAACACAAGTGTGAAGTAAAAATAGCTGCACTGACAGCGAGAAAGCAGACCTTCTAGTGGGAATGTTGACATCCGCCAGTGTGTACAGGGGGGTGAGGCTGGGCACAAGGTAGTGTAAACGAGGGAAGGGGACCAGGTTCATAGCAATCTCATTCAGATCCATGTTGAGAGAGCCCTCAAAACGAGCAGAGCTGTAAATCAAAGAGAGATCATGGTGACCCATTAACATTTTGAAACTTGCAGAAATTATCTCCTTTAAGTATATTGAATAATGCTAATTCACAGCAAAAGCCAACTGAAGAAACATTGACCCAGTTTCCCAAATTCATTCAATACATTTCAGATCAATCCTGCTTAAAAGCTTGTTTTACATCAAGATGTAAATCTATCTGCTCAGTTAAACCAATTTAAAATACATTTGGTTACATTCGAAAGTACAGAAAACTTTGTAATACCAGCAAAAATAATTATTTAAAAATGTCATCCAGATTTAGATCGGTTTTAGCAGGAAAACAAAGTAAAAAGAGATGGTCTGTTTGTCCTCCAGCAAACGGACTTATAGCAACATGGGGGTAGTTCAAAATGACCCCATACTCCCTGGCATTAAACTTTTAAAGAAGAATGATGCGTCATTATCGTAGAAGAAACATGAGCTGGTTCTTTGAGTCCTGCAGGTTTTAGTCTAATATATCGACATGAAAATATGAATCCTTCTGTAGAAAGGAACTTGCTGTGCATTAATCAGGATTCAATTGACTGCAGGTTCCTGTTAGAACAAAGTACTGTATTTTCACGACCATAATTCGCAGCGTACTAAAAGGCGCAGTCTCAGTTATGTGTGCCATTTCTGTATTTAACACACACATAAGGCGCACCGGACTATAGGGCGCGGGTTTTATATACCGGTACATGTCCTCTACTACGTTTAAATACCTCTACTGTGTATTTAAAAATAGAGCGGGAGAAAAACTGAGTATGACTGTGCTTTATTCATGTATTTATTATTAAGTATTAATCAAACCTGGGAGCTGACAGCGAGACAGAAACATTGCAGATGACACAGAGCGCTGTGATCACTCCTCTGAAAAAGTTTATTGACGCATAAATTAACTTAAAATGCAGAAATCTGCCGGCAGAATATGTTCGCTTTTATTATCCTGGTGCCTGCAGTTTAGATTGTACCAGTTAGTTCTGACGCGCGGCTGAAGCAGCTGTGCTGCTCTGGCTGCGCGGTGCAAAAGTGTGCCTGATGCGCCTTGGGCGGAGCTGTCCTATCCTTTCTTTGCCTTGCAGCTATATTTGTTGTGATCAGTGGGAATAAAGTAGTTTCAATATGTTTTTAAGTGGGAAAATCCACCTGACAACTTAATTCAACAGCAGCCTCTGGCCGGGTGGCCTCCTCGCGGTTCACTGCGGCGGCTGGTAGGTGTTTTTCATCAAAATAATCCAAACTGCAGCACCAGGATAATAAAAGCGAACATATTCTGTCGGCAGGTTTCAGCATTTTAAGTTAATTTAGGCGTTAATAAACTGTTTCAGAGGAGTGATCACAGCGCTCTGTATCATCAGCGATGTGTCTGTCTCGCTGTCAGCTCGCAGATCAGCTTCTCTGATTGGTTGATGCGGCGTGTCGAGCAGCAAAACTTCAATTTTTCGCGCGTCAGATGCTTAAACGCTCCAGACGCGCTGCGCCTGCTGCTCAAAACGCGCTGCGGGACCTTTTGCTGCGCCTTGACGCACGTCAACCATTGACTTTGCATGTAAACTCGCTGCTTCTTCTTTTTTTTTTTTTTTTTTTGTGAGATGTGAGATGAGCGGCTGAGATCTCGCGAGAGCTGTGGGCGTGTGCGTAAGTAAAAATGGCGACATACAGGTAATTCAAAACAAACAATTCCAGTCCTGGTAAGTAAGCCAATAAATGTAAATAAAACAAGCAGATTTAAACTTTGACAATTGTACCGTATTTCCGAGGGAACAAACTGGAAGACGAGACCTTGACGAGCCTGGAGAGCTACCTGGACGAGTGTTTTGACAACATCGTAATGGGGAAGCCGAAGAATCCCACATCCACAAACACACCGTCTTCCAAACGATGTCGGTCTAGTTCAACCAGTGCTGCTTCTACATCTACTTTGTCTCCAGACAGGAGCTACAGCGACGTCCTGGAATCCATCGACAAAAAGCTAACTAGCTTGGACGCCCGCCTTGCCCTGGTAGAAGTCCTGCATAAGGAGTTTCAAGCTTTGAGAGAGTCGCTGGAATTCAGCCAAGCTCAGCTGGCCTCCGTCACCGCCGAGAATGAAGCGCTGAAGGGGGAAGTCACCAAACTCGCCGAGGGGATGATCCAGCTGTCCGGCGAAAATAGAAAGATGAAGGAATCCATTCTGGACATTCAGTCGCGGAGCATGAGAGACAATCTCGTCTTCGCTGGAATCGCTGAACAGCAGGACGAGGACCCTGAGACGATAGTACGTGAGTTCCTCCAGAAGAAGCTGAAAATCCCGGCGGACCAGGTAAAAAACATCACCTTCCATCGCGTTCACCGGCTCGGAGGTAAGAAGCCTGATAAATCCCGTCCTAGACCAATTGTAGCTAAGTTTGAGCATTACAAGCAGAAAGAGCAGGTCAGGAGTCAGGGCAGAGAGCTGAGAGGAACAGATTTCAGCGTCAATGACCAGTATCCGAAGGAAATATTAGATCGCAGGCGAGCGTTATTCCCAATCAGGAAGAAATACATCAGTGAAGGCGTCAGAGCTACAGTAGCAGTTGACAAACTTTATATTAATGGTCAGTTGTTCAGTGATCAGAAGATCACTCCTTGGCTTTATTAGATGCACAACAGGCGGGTTTAAAAGCATGTGACACCTGATCAAAGTGTATAGAACATTTCACGGTGATAAATGAAATATATGCACAGCTCTAGAGCACGTTTGCACGGTATGACTGCTAGTTACCGCTGGGTACAGAATGCATGGGCTGGGGTTCTTTTTCTTTCACCTTTTCTCACTCATTGCACTCTCTTAATTTTCTGTCTTCCTTTTCCTTATTCGTCTGCTTCTTCCCTGTGGTCCACACAATCACAAGCACACGGTTTGATGCTACCTGGGTCTAGGTATAACTATTTATTCAGAGGCATGTACTTTTCATCTTCTCACTCACACCTATGGTGAATGTAAGGTTTGTGACATGGAATGTGCATGGGGCTGGCACCAGAGAGAAGAAGCTTAAGATTTTTAACCAGCTTAAAAGATTAAATGCAGATGTTGTCTTATTGCAAGAAACCCATAAATCAGCGGCATCTATAAGTGATCTTAACTCCCCTGAGTTCCCTGATGTGTTTGCAGCCTGCTATAACTCTAGACAGAGAGGGGTAGCTATTTTAATCCACAAAAACCTCAGTTTTACTTTATTAGACAAAATTATAGATCCTGAAGGCAGATTCATCATAATTAAAATATCTATTTATAACCAAAAGTTGTGTATTGTCAGCATATATGGTCCAAATGTTGACGACCCCTCATTCTTCCACAAAGTTTTTCATGCACTTTCAAAGCACGGGGATTGTTCTCTAATTATTGGGGGTGACCTCAACTTTGGTCTAAATGGAGAAATGGACAGGTTGAGTACAACAGGGACCCAGCGCAGTTGGCAATCATTAAATGTAGTCAAACAATACATGAGTGATTTTGGTCTTTGCGATGCATGGCGATCTCTTCATCCTAACAGTAAGGAATACACTTTCTTTTCCAATGTCCATCATTCCTACTCTCGTCTGGACTATTTCCTAATCAGCAGCTCACTGCTGTCTGATGTCTCAGATGCTGTAATCCATCCTATTGCTGTCAGTGATCATGCTCCTGTTACTTTAACCCTAATAAATAAAAAAATAGCCCCACAAAACAAGAGCTGGAGATTAAATACATCACTGCTTAAAGATGAAGAGTTTCTCAAATTTTTCAAGGAAGAGTGGGCATCATACTTGGTGTGCAATGATTTACCAGGAACATCAGCATCTATACTTTGGGAGGCAGGGAAAGCAGTGATGAGAGGTAAAATTATTTCATTTTCATCTCATAAAAAAAAGTTAGAACAAAAAAAGATCCAGGAATTAGAGGGAAAAATAAAGTTACTAGAAAGCTCGCTAGATGAGGAAAAGTTAGGGGAAATCCGTAAAACAAAACTAGAACTAAACGAATTTATTGAAAAACAAAATAAATTTTTAATTCAAAGACTTCGAAATGACAACTTTGAAAATAGCAATAAGTCAGGAAGCTTCTTAGCTAACCAGCTAAAAATAAACAAAGAAAAAACGACTATATTTGCAGTTACAGATTCAATTGGTAATACATTACAGGATCCGGAGGATATTAACAATGCCTTCCGAGATTTCTATAAATCTTTATACACATCACAGTTAAATCCATCAGATAATGATATCAAGCGATTTCTGGATAAAATAACTCTTCCTAAATTATCAGAGAGTCAAAGAGCGACCTTGGACTCACCGCTGTCTACAGCTGAAGTTCAGGAAGCATTAAAAAACATGCCAAATAATAAAGCGCCAGGTCCAGACGGGTTCCCTACTGAGTTCTATAAAGAGTTCTGGGACATTCTGGCCCCAACGTTCCACAGAATGCTGCAGGAAACTCTAGATAATGGCAAATTTCCAGTTAATATGAATTCTGCCACCATTAGTCTCCTGCTTAAGCCAGGCAAAGATCCTATGTTTCCGACCAGCTATCGTCCCATATCCTTAATTAATGTGGATATTAAAATAATCTGTAAAGCTTTAGCAAAACGGTTAGATAAAGTCACTCCTCATAATCCACCCAGATCAAACTGGTTTCATTAAAGGGAGGCAGGCAGCTACTAACACACGCAGACTGCTGAATTTAATAGATTATTCCTACAGCAAAAATCTTAAATCCTATATATTGTCCTTAGATGCAGAAAAAGCATTCGATAGAGTTAACTGGAAATTTTTATTTGCTACTCTACATAAATTTGGCTTTGGCAATTCCTTTATAAATTGGTTAAAAATATTATACAGCTTCCCAACAGCCTGTGTCAGGACAAACAATCAAACATCTTCCAGTTTTTGTCTCCAGAGGGGCACCAGACAGGGATGCCCACTCTCCCCCTCACTTTTTGCTATTTTTATCGAGCCTCTGGCTGCTACAATCAGACAAAC